TAAGGAAGAAGAAGGGGATTGGCGAGGAAGAAGTGCCGGCAGCCATAGCTGACCGGGAAGTTGACCGAGAGGGTTGACCGGAGGCGTTGACCGGAATTGACCGAAGTTGACCGAGGGTCATAGCAGCCTTGACCGACGTTGACCAAGGCCGTTGACCAAGGCGTTGACCAAGACTTTGACCAAGCTGGAGTTGGTAACATCTCGCCAAGCCCTTAGCTTGCCCCTTGCCCTATGGATGTGCACATACCCCTTGGTACTTGCTGAGTACAGTCTGTCGGTCTATTCTTTCTGCATTGAGTCTCTTTTGTCCCAGGTCATAGAACTCTGTGGATGAAGGATAGGGCCTTGCTGCCAAACCTGCACGAGACTTAGTAGGACTAATCTCTACTCTGGTATTTGGAGACCTGGGCATGAGCGGCGAGCGCTCGTTAAACAACTCGTCTAGCCCAATGACCGGTACTTTCCGGCAGGTCTGCTCAGTTTCAGTGTAGAGGGTCCGAACTCTGAGCTGCAGGCTGAAACGGAGGCCGTCTTTAAGTGTTGAGGGCCTGTTGGAACCACTCCCCTACCAGACCAAGTAAGGCTGATGATCTGTGTCTGACGACTCGACTGTCCCGGGGGATACGAACGCTCCCAAGGACCGGTACAGACCGACGGGCTGCTCGGTGTGGCACAGTAGGCCGGAAAGGCCGAGTTTGGGCTGAAAGCACAGGCAGAACCAAGCTGATCACGTCGTCCTGTCTGCGACGTTAAAGAATTCTTGAGGAGTTACGGGGGATCTCCTTAAATRCCTCCTGATCAGCCACTGGTTCAGTAGTGACAGCCATAGTGTAGGTCTAGGCTAGAGACCATAGTTGACAGGATCCCTGTCAGGATTCTGTGAGTCTTAGATTGAGTCAGTAGGTCTGTCAGTCAAGGGTTGACGTCTACGTGGTGAGGTTTGGAACCACTAACCCGGTTGTACACTTATCACCATGGTTGAGACCCGTAGTGGGAAGGAGACTAGCCCCTACACCACTGAGTAGAAAGAAAAGATGGCCGCCTTAGTCAGAGAGAATAAGGAGAGGAAAGAGCGTGAAAAGCAAGCCAAGCTAAAGGCTATCTCAGACGAGCAGGCGGCGAAGATGAAGAGATTGGAGGAGGAGATGAAGAGGGTACAACAGGAGGAGGAAGAAAGAAGGAAGGCTGTTGAAGCAGAAGCGGCAGCAGAAGAAGAGAAAGAGAGAATGAGAATTGAGAGTGGGGAAGGAAGTAGTGGTGGCACGATGAAGTGGGAGACATATATTGAGCTGGAGAAGAAGATCAGTGAGTGGGTCGCTAATTTATCGTTGGGGGAAGACGAGGAGGCGGAGTCATATGTGACTAAGGATGAGAAGGCTGCGCTGGCCGCTGAGCTAGCAGCCATGACAGACCCAATGGAACGAAGAGAGAGGGAAGACGAGCAAAAGTTAGCATGGAAGTTGAGAATGAAGAGGGAGAAGAAGAGGAGGAGAGAGGAAGTGAATAAGATGACCGCAGCAGTGGCAAAGGTGCAGGAGTGTGGAGCGGAGGTGCTGGCCCAACCAGATGATAAGGCCAAGTGGGACAAAGTACTGGGCTATCTAGAGGTGTTGAGCAAGGCCTGGATGGAGGAGCGCCAGGCAAGCTGGAGCCAGGATGTAGCGTTGAGTGCCATGCGGTCCGGGTTCAGGGATTTTGCGCGCGAAATCGTCACCCACATTGGGGGCGAAGTCAAACAGTTGAGGGACAACGTAGGGAAGTTTTGTGAGGGCGCCATTCAGGTGCCAAAGCTGCAGCCGCTGTAGAAGGAGAGGGCAGACTCCGTAAGGACCCAGTGAAACTTAAGTTCCCAGACGCGTACGGGGGAAAGAAGGACGAGAACTTTGACAACTGGGAGGCCAGTGTCAATAGTTACATTTACTTACATCATATCCTGATAGAGGAGCAAGTCCTCGTGGCCTTCCTGGCCCTGAAGGACGAAGCGGCTAGCTTCGCCAGGTCTCTCGCGCGTACAGCCGGTTGTGAAAACAACCTGGTTGCATATTCCAAAGTCACTCCTCTTTCCCAATTCCTCAAGCTCCTCAAGGAGCGGTTCGCTGACCCAACGCGAGGCATTAGAGCCTCTGATAAGCTCCAAACGATCCACTC